CTAAGTAAAGTTTTTAACTATTTTTTTTACAGCTAGCAAAAATATACATCAACATATTTTTTGAAATTGGCCTTATTTAGCACCCTATTTTTCTCTAGTAATAATATCTATTAATGTTGTAGATTTCCTTTATCCTTTGTAATTAGAATAAGTTGTGCTTTAAGTAAATGTACATTTGAGCAAAGTAAAAACATGCTGTGAGTTAGAACAATATGATTTGAGTATAGTTGGTGGTGATATATCTGATTTCCTTAAAAACATACAAAAATATTGATAAGAAAAACTATTTGTGTGTGTGTGAAATAATTGCACAGTTTTCTAGGTAAAGAAATCAAACAAAACAGAAGTCCAAAGTCACTTTCTTATAATGTCTGGTTGAAATCCTAACAGGTTTCTTATATGTTAAGGTACGTGTATAACCATATATTCTAGCTCCTGAAGCCCTTCTTGTAGAACTTCTAAAAGGCCCAAAGTAACTCAGAATCATAATCAATGTGACATGCTTTGGGCCTTTTAGAAGCTCTGTCACATTGCTTATGATTCTGAGTTATTTCCTATTGGCTAAGGGACAAAAGCATCTATTATTACTTAATAACTGTCTTTGGTCATATTCAAACTTGGAATGATATGATAGCATCATTAAATCTCAGATAATGACACTATAAAATATGTTATGGCTTTGGTACAAAATGCTGGCATAGCTGCTGTATCTCTTGATTTATAGGTGCCTTTGATGACTGTTTTAGGCTATGTTACATGTTTAGTTTTCTTGCACTATGTTAGTTGTATGGCACAAGTCATTTTTGTGTGACAGTTCCCAATGGCTAAGGAATTGAAAGTTTATCCAAAGATCTTTTAGCCCAGTCAGAATATTGACACTCTCTAAAGGTAGTTTTCATCATGCAATAGTGTTCAGCCCCAAAGAAGACACATTTCCACTTTTAACTACAGATGATCTGCCACAGGTAAATGAGGTACATTCTGGAGGCATAATTGACTGTTCCTATGATTGAGAACAGAGCTATCTCCATATATTTCACAATGTTCTTAATACTTAATCAGGATACCTGCATAATGAGTTACTAGCTTCAGTTCAAAGACTCCTAGTAGTGGTGTGAGTAATTTAAGGCTCATTAAGGATGTTTATCAGGATTCAAGAAGGCAGGTACATGAAAAGCCCATTAAGTATGTTTGTTGTATTGACTTTTCCTGGAGAAACTTAGCCCGGAAAGTCCCAAAGAATAGATTTTGATACTGATCATTGAGCTTTTCTGAATAAGATTCATTCTTTAATGGCTTCTTCTAGAAGTATGATTTGAGAATTTTTTACATATGTTAAATCAAGCACTTAATATAGAGAATTACTTCAAAATCCTCAGTTCGAAAAAGCTTGACCATGGCTTTCATTTCTTTGTGTTTATTTTTTTTTTAATCTTAATGACACATGCCAGGAATGTGGCAAAGTGCTTGAGATACAAATAAGACAAAAATACATGTGATTCCCTATCCCACAGAATACCTGGAAAAAATGCAGATTTGTTACATGTCTGTACTTTGTCTTAAAATCTCTTGGAGTTCCTTATACACACATGCCATAATTATTTTTCATGCATTTGTGTGTTGGGAAGCTATTTATGTCATGTTTTATAGTTCTGCTGTGCCTCTTTGTGTGAGTGTTCTGTGTTTCTACATGTATATGAACATATGCATATACATGCTACAAAATAGCTGCTGGTTGAATGAGTTATCACTGCATTTAATCATTAGTAGGTAGTAATAACAAAATATGCAGAACATTTTATGACTTACAGATCTCTTCCTGCTTTATCACCTTGCAATAAATTAGGATGGCAAGTTTTTAAATCAAATTTTCAGTAGCAGCTGAGTATTGGAGAATATGTGACCCATCCCAGGTCATTCATTCTGGTGTGTATAATCAGGATTCCAAATGAATTACTTTTCTACAGAATCACCAATCCAATCGGAGACACAAATGGCATTGTAAACTGATGGAAAACACTTGTAGGATTTTTTGTTTTGTTTTATGAAGAATATTATAACCTTAAAAAAAGTAAAACACTAGTGTATGTGTGAACGTTGATATGAAAAACAATTTTCACATACTTTATTTTTTAAACTTAAGTAGAAACTCATTTCTTCTGCTATAGCATTATCAATGTGTTATTCTTGTTCATGGCACTATCACAGATCTTTGTTGCCATGAATATTTATCAGCAGAAAGTGTAAACCACAATCTATAGTAGCAATTGCGAACTTTGCCTCACTTACACAGTTGGGTATCTGTTTATGTTTCTCTCATTTTTTATCACATGTGTGCCCTTGTATCTTTCATGTCCTTTGTATTCACTCTCTCAGATGAAGTTAATTTTCCCTAGTTTTCAAGATGGGGATAATTTCTGCTATTTTATATAAATAGCATGGGAATTTGGTATGCCCATCATATACCTAATTTAGTGTCCATTGAAAATTTCCCTTCTGTGTAATACAGGTTTCTGCATGTGAGTGGCAATTCAAGTAGTATGCACATGTTAAAAAAAAAATCAGTGGACCAGTGATAAATTCAGTCAAGTATCACAGAGCCAAAATAAATTGTCCTTTTTAAACTATAAAAATTAAATGTGAATGTTAATTTTTATATAATTTTAAAAATTTATAAAATATAGGTAGTTGATAAGTACCATCAAAAAGGAGAAACAATCAGTTTGATATTAAGATAAACTGTGGTACTATTTATGTAATGTTAATTAAGTGGATTAAAATTTTAAACTTTACTGTTAAAAATATAAAAAGAATCCCTAAAACCTAAGACACATAATGGGTAAAAAAAATAAATAAATAAAAGAACTAATGCAATAAAACTATCCTCCAAATAAAAGATTTTTAATCAGTGAAAGCAACTGCTTGCCTCTTAACAATTCATGTAATTTATTCATTCAGCAGATATTTATTGGTAGCCTCACAATAAAACAAATCTGTGCCCTTAAACAGCTTACATTTTAGAGGGAGAAATAGTTCTTAAGAAAAAGAAAAAGAAAGAAGCAAGATTGCTTCAGACTGTGATAACTGCTTAATGGAAATTAACAGATAAGATGGAGCATTAGTAAAGGCAGCCACTTTGGGTAGGCTGCTTGGGAAGAGCCTCTCAGGAGGTGGTTTTTGAGCTGAAGGATCAGAAAAGAGGCTTCTGTGAAGATTAGGGATATGTAAAAACATATGTAGGGACATAGGCAGAAAGAGCAAATGGAAAGGCTAGAAAATAGTGAATGACTTGGTCTGAGACAGTACTGGGAAGGAAGAAACAGGTTATTCAGGGCACAGTAGACCATAGCCAAGACTTTATGTTTTATTGGAAGAGCCACTAAAGTTTTAAGCAGGGGAGTGATAAAAAACTGTGTTTTTAAAAAATCTGACTGTTACGTGGATATGGGCAGTTAGGAGGCAAACGGCTGGGAGACCAAGCCTCTGCAGTGACATGGAGGTGAGGTGATGGGGCCATGGATGCTGAGGGAGGCAAGGGAATGAAAAGGTGCTGAGGCAAAATAGCCAACTCCTGGTGAAGGAGAGGAAGGAATCAAGGATGAACATCAGCCTAGTATACTCATTATTAATAAGGAAAACAAAAATTAGAGTACAAACCTTAAGGAAGCAGTAGTCAAAGAGGCATGACTTAAGTTAACCACTTATTTTCATCCTACCACTAAGTAGTGGGATTCTCACACCCAAGGCATTTCAGACTCAGTCCACTTGGATTACTTGTCTAAACTCTGCCCAAGACCTTTTAATGAACACGGCCTGGCTCTGGCCTGCTTCTCTCAAGCTGGAGCTGTACCTTATTTCTCTGTTCCCAGTACACATCCTAGTGCCTTCAGAGTACAGTAAGCCAAAGTTGGTCAAATTTGACATGAATTTCTACTCTTAGTTTCTTTCAGCAGATGTAAAGGCTGTACCTACTATGTGTAGGTACTCCTTTATATTCTTTACATAAATTATTATGTTAATTCTTACGGAAAACTCTGTTGGGTAATTATTATTATTGTCACTGATAATATCCCCTTTTTACAGAAAAACTAAGGTTTGTTAGAAGATGTTAACTAACTTGGGGTGAGTCACAGTTAGTGAGGCAGAATTAGAATTCATACCTGTCAATTGTGTTCTAAAACTTGTGTTTTTTCATGACACTGTGTTACCTTATTTATCAGAAAGCATGTATTGATAAATCATTAAAGACTGTCTTTTTTGGCTCCTTCTAGATGGTCTTCAATAGAGAGATTAGTGGAAAATGATGACAGAATATAAAGACACTAAAGAGATGAACTCATTTCTGTCTGATAAAATAGTAAGGACACCAAGCATTCTAAATAAATGACTGCCAACCCATAGGAGGAAGCCAACAGGTCACAAGGACATCAGACCACTTAGGATGGAGAAAATCAGATGATAGATGAAAAGCTGATGATGCATTGTATTAAAGCACTTGTAATGCACTATACTATGTACAGAAATGTCAAAAGTGATGGAACAAAGCCAAGATTTACTGATAATTGGATTTTAGGGTCTTGAGAAAGGGTCTTGAGAAATGGAAGAGAATACAAATGTAAGTGGAAGAGGAATATCTAATGTCGATATTCTTAATAACCTGTGATGCTTGTAAAATAGAGTCCTAGGACCATGTCACTCTGTCCTCAGATATTGTGGAGCATGAGATCTGTCTGTTTAACAAACACTTCTGGGTGTTTTTGATACAATTAGGTAATGGACCACACTTTGGGAAAATACTGATTTAGTCCAGCTTTTTTTTTTTACAAATCAGCATGAGGCTCATAAGGAAAATGGCTGTTTAAAGTTGCAACATTCTTTTATGTTGGAGCTTTGGTTCAGTCTCCTAGGCACCTACTTCTATCCTGTCTGATACTTGAATTTAGTTTTTCCAATCAAGGCATGGACTGGCTAACAGCATATCATTGCTATTTCTTTTCTAGAATCACAACCACAGCTGCCTGTATGATGGACCTAAGGCGATACCCACTGGATGAACAAAATTGCACCTTGGAAATTGAAAGCTGTAAGTTTTTTAGAGAACCCAGTTAGATTGAACTCTGCTTTAAGGTTTTCTGAAAGTTCTGCTAGCCCAGTAAATTTGGTGGTAGGAGGCACTAACAGTATCTTCCCTTAATGATAGTACCACTGTCTTCATCTCATCCCTAAAACCCTGGGAGTAATGTGTAGGGAAGGAGTAATCTAGCAATAAAAAGAAGGTGCTAAGGGCCTGGAAGGATACCAGAGGCTATCCCAAGCATTCATAATATGGATTTGGTGCAAACAGCTGCAACATGCTTAGGAAAATAGGTAGAGATGGCAACGTGACAAGATGTCCTAATTGTCTTTGCCTCTCATAAATGTTATCTCTTTGCAATTGCAAAATAAATGTGGCCTCTATTAAAAGATTCACAGAGTGTGGGTTGGTGGAATGTTTTTTTTATTTTAAGGGGTTATTTTCAGTGTCTAAAACTTGTTTTATATTTTTGGTGAAGTCCATGTGATGATGAGCAAGTTTAGTGTATATGTGTGTTTATTCTCTGTCCTGTGCTGACCTCCTCTGCAGTGTGGTTGCTTTTCTAGGCCATAGTTCAGCATCTTTATGATTCAGTCACTTACCCTATTGAGTGAGCTAAACATTGATTTTATAACCCATCTCCATTTCTAAGGTCACACGGGGAAGTCATTTGAGATACAATAGGATTTTGAATCTCTTTTCTCTGTCAGTTCTTTGCAGTGTTTTCATACCTCATCCCACTGAACAATTGGAAGCTGATAATTTTATATCCAGCATTCTTGATAATTAGTACCTTGGCTGGGCAGATCCTCTCAGTCTTTTTGAGGAACTCAAGCAGTGGCAAACAGCACAAGTTTAAATCACTGCTCTGAGTGGAAATACAGCATTTATGGCACATGGCTGCTATTTATGCTCATTTCAGAAAATACCTTTCAGGAATAAATAAATTTACATGCAATTTTTTTGAACAACCTGATTTCATATTTGTATTTCCAAGTCATCATAACTTCCATATTGATCTTTGCCATAAAGAGCTAAATTTAATGAAATTAGTCTATAGGATATCAATAATTTTTTATGTAAATATCTTTGAGAAAACTGCATTTTCATAACTTACAATTTGGAGTGCAGACTAATGTTCTTCGAAGTCCAAATTCATTGACTGTTTCGATCTATTGATGTAAGGATATTTTGGAAAAAGTAAGTTGCTGTGTATTACTAATACACTTTCATGATAAGAGTATTTTTATGGTAGAGTTTGACTGGAATTTTAAATAATCATAATTGTACATGGTTAAAGCACTTGCACTGATGAGTTTTCATTTGAGCCCTTTACAACCCTATCAGGTAAGTAACAAAACCTTTTTAGTTCAAAGAACTGATGTCTAAGGAAGGACATGGGCAACACCCAAATGTTTCATGTAATTAAGTTATAATTCTGACATGAATATTTAAAACTTAATGTGACATTCCTTAGACTTTTAAAAAGTAAGTTTTATAAAGAGGCTTTTACCTATCTTCAGTTACCTTGTTAAGTGAGGTAAAATAGGGTCATAAGTGCAGAATATGTATTTAAAACTCTGGCACCTCATGCAGATATTATTTGTGACTTTCATGTATATCTGGACTTTACAACTTCAGTCCTTTCAATTCTTCCACTTTCAGGAGAAAGTGAAGTAGTAACTTGAATATAAAGAGAGTATCTTAATATTGAGTATGAAAATGGAAAATAGTGAATTCTTTCCATCTAAATCTTTTTCCCTCCAAGTAAAGAGAAATCTTACTTTTCTTCTATGTTTTTCATTATTCTTTTTCTGTAGTCACTTTTCTCCTTCTGGGACTCCCAATAGATAGATCTTGGGTCTCCCACATCTACCTGTCATGGCTCTGAAATAAAATTTGTAGATTTTTTTTTCTTTCAGACTATTAGTATTTATTTTAGTCTAAAGAAGTTATTTTTGGTAAGCATTCTACCTTGTCAATCCTGTTTTCAGTTTCTAAAACTTCTTCCTTATTTTTTGATTACTCATTTTCCATAGTTGCTTGTTCTATTATGGAATATCCTTTTTATTTTAAGGGCATCAGTTTCAGTTACTTGAGAGGTCTTCTTTGGCTCTCTTCATCTATTTCTTTTTTGTGATGATATGTGTTTATTTATCATGGTCTGTTCATTTTATGCTGATGGTTTTCCTTCTATGTCCGCCATCTTTGGTAATCAATTCATAGTTGTAAGTAAAGGGCTAGTTTGACAAGAACCACTTACTCATACAGGTTTTCTGAACTGATGCAATTTTCCTCAGCACCTTTATTTCATTGTTTCTGTAAACAGACTCTGATCAGACTCTTCCCCAAATTGGGTGATGCAGGAGGAGAACTGGGTATGTTGACCAGACAGCCTTCCTTTTGAGGAGAGCAGGCTAAGGATATTCACAGGTAGCCAAGGTTCATCTGAGGTCTAAGCATCTTAGGTTATTTCACTATGGAACTGATAGAAGGAACTGATAGAACTTAAAATTACCTTTGTTCCCCCTCCATTTGTAGAAGTGCCTGGGCTATCTGGAACTCTGTTCTTATTCTCTCTTCAGCCCAATATATAAACTAGGAACCTAGGCAGCCACCACTTTACTTACAGAGCCTTCTTCCAGCATTTATTATCTTGGGAGCAGTTTCCACATCTAGAAGTAAACGAAGCAAGAGGACTGGTCCAGTGGCTCCATAGTGGCTTCCTCTCTGTCAACCTCTTTACTGAGTCTTCAAATTCTCTAGTACATGCAAGTTCTCAGACTGGCTGCCCATTAGATCACCTAGGGAGTTTTTAAAAAAATCCAAATTAATAGGCCACACTACAGACCTATTGAATCAATAATTTTAAAAGCTCCACAGATGATGACAGTGAACAACAGAATTTAAGAAACAGTGCTCTAGGACATGGTTCTCACACTTGAGTGGGCACACAACCTCCTGGCAGATTGCTGGGTTGCATCCCTGGGTTTCTACATTAGTGGGTCTTGGGTGAGGCCCAAGAATTCATATTCCTCACAAGTTCATGGTCATGCTGATATAATACTTCAGGTGCAAGGATTACACTACTCCAGAACTTTGGGGGGAAGATCTGCTCTCTTCTCTGTAATTCCCCATGCAAAAGTGTTTCCTATTTGATTTTCTTTACCTAATAACCTCATCTACACTCTAACTTCTATACATTTTTCAAAATTACTAGCCCATTGATGGCATACTTTTTTACTTTATAGTGCTATTGTAGATGTTTACTTTTTCCTTCCTCTTACAGTTATTTCTATGAGATTTGAGTAAAGTAAATATGCAGTCCTAAACTGGAACTCTTCTTTTGTCATACTCAGTCTTTAATATTCAGTTTTTAAGTGCATAACAATTTTGAACTTCATTTTTAAAATTTAAGAGTATGTCACAAATACCCTAATTTCTGAAATACTCTCTTAAAATTCGTAGTGTCTATTTAGTATTCCACATCTGGCTAAATATTTATTTATCCAGTTCCATATTGTAGAACATAAATTAATTCTACTGTGTTGCTATTTTTAAAAATGTTATAATTTGTGTATGACTGAGACTATATCATTAAATACAGTCATGACTTTATATATGTGTATATTTCTATATACGTACATACATGGCTTTTCTGTCCAATATGAAATTAATTAAAATTAAATAAAACTAAAAATTCATTTCCTCAGTCACAGTTGGCATATTTCATGTACTCAATAGCCATTTGTAACTATGTTTTGCTATATTGAACAGTACAAATATACAGAACACTTCTGTAATCTCAGAGAAGTCTGAATAACACTAACCTATTAGATAAATTCATGTAAGTTGAATAGACACAACACAGAAAATATAAAATTTAACGTCTTTTGATATAGTTCTACAGGAAATGTTCCCATTTAAACTCCAAGAATAGGATTTTATGGTATCACTTCTTGGTGATATCACACTTGGTTTACATTAATATAAATCCTGTAGAATTTATAGGTCACATAGGCAACATTTTTCTAATGTAAAATGAATGGCTTAAAATCCAAAGCAATATGCCACTTAACTATCCAAATTAATAGTTAAGGAGCATTAAAATTATTGTATATACCATAGGTCAGCCTTTGAAGCAACAAGATAGCAATATAGGATATCTATTTTATAAAATATCAGTGTCTGGCAAATAACTATTTTCCTCTTAAATAAGAGAAAATTGTAAGATTTTTAATTGTAAGATTCACCATTACATCAATAAGAATAACAGAATCCTACACTGAATATACATATTTCTTGGTAGACAAATTACCATTTCAAAAAATACTAAAATGTAAAAGGAACCTAAAGTAAATTAGAATTGAGGAAGTATAGTTTATTTTCTTAATTGTAAAAGAAGCTGTCATTTTATTATTCCTAAGTGGGTACACCAGAAAGAATCACAATTCATAGTGTTATTCAGTTAGCATCTCCCAATCTTACAGGTGGAAATCTGCCTTAGTTATTTTCCCTCAGCACAACAGTTCCCTCAGGGACTGTTTCTGACATGGTGTGCAGTTTTTGAAGTATTTATGTGTGCCATAGGAACCACTGGCCCAAAGGGTAGAATATAGGTGGACTATACACTATTCTGGCAGTACTCTTCCCTATGGATCTACAGGTACCTTTGAAATCTCTGTACCTTAGATACAGAGAAGGTGAGGAGAAATCTTTTAGCAGTAGATATAATCCCTTATTAGGTTTTTGCTCTGTAAAGGACATCAGTGTAAATGCTATGCCAAACTGAGATACATTGAATGTGCTTTCGATGCCTCACCTGTATTACGATAACTTGGTAACTAAATGAGCACAGAGCCCAAGAGCTGCTCACCCCTCTGACTGCATGATAAGCACAGCTGTGAAGCTTAGGGGTGTGTTGGCACTGGTTCAGCATACAGCTCAGAGAACAGCAAAGAGCAATTACAAGGAAACTGCTGGGTTCCCACTATGGCTTCTTAAAGTTG